CTAACTCAGAAAATAGGTCTAATTAAGCAAGTTTATTCTATATTTAAAAGGCTAAGTTGACTTTATATGCATGCACGATACATATAAAGCTCTCGCTGGCGCCAATCACAGGCGTGTGTCTTGATGTGTCATTGTTGATCGTGAATTTAATTGACACTTCTATATAGAGAAAGGGTGAATAGCGATATTAAAATATTTCTTCTAATTAATTTTCTTTCAATGTGCACGAATCCGTCCACCGGGCCACTAGTATGCTACAATTGAGGTGAACACTGTGAGTCTTCCTTTTAAAAAGCAACTACACCACATATGATCTATTTCCCATTTTATTAAAGGCACCAATACTGGGCTTATTCACAGCACCTGACTCCTGATAAACAAAAAGTATTTGCTAGGTATAATGGAGTGTTATGAAATTAACATTTGTAAAAAGAATCAAATTTCATTTCTAGTATAAATGCTGCCTTAGCCAAATCACTAACTAATCTTAACCATTAGTTTTATCATAGATAACAGACCCAAATGGTCACTAAATGTTCATGGGTATGCTGTAATAACTTCATTTACTCATTTAAATAATATTTATAGAAAAACTTCTAGGTACTAGGCACTGGAATTATAGGTATGAATAAGGCACCTTACATTTTGCTGGGGGATACGCAATTTTGGTTACTGGGAAGCACCATAAGGATAAACAGAAGTGACAAAGACGTAGGTTGCTCAGGAAAGCTTTTTAAGAAAGTGACATTTGAGGTGGGACTTGAATGGTGAGAAGGAGCCAGCCCTGAAGTTCTGGGGGGTGAAGAGCATTCATTCCAGGCAGAGAAACAATTGCAAAAAATTCATCTTAGTGCTTTTCTCAATCTTCGATGTTTACTTTATTCAAAATCTAGTTTTAAGCTCTTTTCCAGTCAATGAAGCCTTGTGGGGTTAAACCTACTTTCAAATTATAGCTTAAGTGCTCAATTTATATTATACTAGAGGCCCAGTGCACAAACCTACTTTCAAATTATAGCTTAAGTGCTCAATTTATATTATACTAGAGGCCCAGTGCACAAAATTTGTGCACTCGGCAGGGGGGGATCCCTCAGCCTGGCCGGCCTGCACCCTCTCACAGTCCAGGAGTCCTCAGGGGATGTCTGACTGCTGGCTTAGGCCCACTCCCCACAACTTGCTGGCTGGCCTGAGCAGGGAGCAGGCCTAATCTGTGAGTTGGACATCCTTAGCGCTGCTGCGGAGGCGGGAGAGGCTCGCACCACCGCTGCTGCGCTCGCCAGCCGTGAGCCCAGCTTTTGGCTGAGTGGCACTCCTTCCGTGGGAGTGCACTGACCACCAGGGGGCAGCTCCTGCATTGAGTGTCTGCCCCCTGGTGGTCACTGCGCATCATAGCTACCAGTCGTTCTGCTGTTTGGTCGATTTGCATATATTAGCCTTTTATTATGTAGGATTCATAGTTTTAAACTTGTGGTCGGTCCTAAAAATGTAATTATTAACTGTTCTGTGTTTATTCTTGTCTCACAAGTGACAATTTCAAAGGAGAGAATCCTAAGATTCTTCTATTCATTTTTCTCAATACCTTAGCAGTGCTGTGCAGGAAGGAGAATGTTCATTAAGTGCTCAGGACCAATTACTATCAAGGAAATCAGTATTTGTTTCCTCATTTGAAAAATAAGGTCTGGTTATAGATTACAGACAGTCCTTGGGTTATGTCAGACTCGACGTACGTTGTTTCGTGGTTATATCACCATCTCCTATTTATTTATTAAAAAAAAAAAAAAGTTCCGTCATTTCGATGTATGTACATATGTGCTTTATGTTTTTTATTATTTATTTACCACAAGTAAAGGTTAGGAATTGTTATCTTTCTTTTAAATTTTTTTTACTATTTCACTTCATTACTGCTGTGTATGTGCTCCGTATGAGTGACGTAGTTGCTTATGTAGGTAGGTTCCGACTTAATGGCAAAAATTGTGTTACATCGTGCAGTAGGAATGGATCTCCCACGTAACCCCGAGGACCTACTGTACTTTAGGAAGACCTAAAGGAACATCCAGTGGTAAGAGCAACTGACTCAGGAAATCTCAAATTCAATTCCTAACTCTACCATTTTAGGCGTAAGGCTTCTGACAAATCAAATTCAATGATCACTTGTCAGTATCTATAAAATGGGGATATCACTTGTCTAATTTGGATTAGTTGGTCTAACTACATTCCATGGGAGATTATGATCACTGTCCTTAAAGCATAAATACTGGAAACAATAAATGTGTTTTCATTTTAGAATGGAAAGAGATCTTAAATGATCTTGTCCAATCCCTCATTTCATGTGAGAAATCAGAGGCCCAGAAGATTTGTTAAAATTTACTGAATTACATTATGGCAGAATCAGTATGGCATCTAAATTTTTTAAATACCCAGCTCAGTATACTTGTCACCATACCACACTGCCTTTAACCACTTCTTGCAAGCTAGTTTCCAAAGTAGATACCTCACAATTTATTCTCTACCCTTAGATCCAGATAGTAAAAACTAAATTACTTTTTTTAAAAAGTACCTATGTAGATTTCTAAGGCTAAAGCCTTACATAATTTGATATCAGAATTGAATTTAGGAAATGCCACACTGATATTACTGAGTCACAATATGAGGAACATATACACCTATTAAATGACTGCATATTTATTTGACTTGTAGTTGGAATGTTTTTCTAACAGTTTCTAATTGAATTGACATAATTCTGATTCAATTACATTGTTATGTGAGAAATACAGATTATGATTTTCTTTTATTTATAGGCAATTTATGTGTACATATAAAATATTGAAAGCAATATAAAATACTTTTTGTTTCTGGTCATCTTTCTGTATTCTCTTATTCATGATTTTAACCTAGAAGCAGAATCGAAGTTAAGAAATAGTTACTGAGAACCCATGGTACACCCTGGATCACGTAACACTGTTTTAATGTGTGCATATGAAGAATATATGATGGAAATTATGTAATGGCTTCAACATCAGGAAGGCTGAAAGTCAACCTTAAAGTGCAAATACACTGGATATTTAAAAAAAACTAAATGACTGCCTAATATTAGAAATTTTCATTTAAAAACAAAAATCTAGATCTCAGGAATGTCCTAAATATACCAAAGAAAGGTTGAAACATTATCTAAACTCAAAGAAGGGTCTTTGGAAATATAAAAACCTAATCAGAAGTTAAATGGCTTTGGGAGAAGAGAAGCAAAATGTTTCCTTAGTAACTTTCATTCCTCCAAGCAAGAATATAAAATGCTTTGGAAAGTAGTGTGCAAAAACTAAAGTTGTAAGGATCAAATGATGTAAGTCTGTGAAAGCATTTGGTTGACCATGAAGTACAAGTTATTATTATATAACAATTTGTAGTCTACAAGTATGACAGTTCACCAGAGTAGACGTAAATGTTTATTTAAAAACTGCAATTCTTTTATACTGACTCACTGAATTTTTATTCTTAAAAAAGCAAGAATGCTAGCCACGAAAGCTGGATCAACTACCCACTTCTGAAAAAAGAATTTATCATAGCATCAATAGGAAAAACAAAACAATACAAAACACTTACACACGAAAAAAATTCCCCCCTTTTCAAAATACAGGTCCTTCTTTTAGCCATGTGACCTTAAAGCAGGTCACTTCCTCTCTGGAACTCAGTTTCCTAGTAATATGTGTCAGACACTGTGTTTGGTGTTTTGCATATTGCCTAGTAGGCTCTGTTATACAAATAAATGAAACAGAAATTACCCCTATTTTATAGCTAGAAAACTAAAGCTCACAGGGGATAGGAAACTTGCTCTGAATCACACAGCTATTAAGTGGTATGGCTGATATACTGGACCTTCCTCTAACTCCAAAGGCCTTTCTCATCCCACTTATAACTACCTTGTAAAATAAGGTTGTTCTCAGTGATCTCTAAGGTTACCTTATGAAATAAAAAATATGATTAATACAATATTTTTCCAAAACATGCATAGAAAACCACTTGTTTGTTAAATGAAAATTACCTCACTACTTCTAGTGTTCCACTACTTAAAAATAATTTTGGAATTTGAAAGTAGTGAAAACTGAGAATCTATAATATAGGACCATACAGGGTTCTTCACGGCATATGTAATGCAAAGTACTTAATAATTTTTAAAATGATGCACAAATAATATCTGATAGTATTTTCAACCAAAATTTAACCCTTTACAAAAGCGAGTCTTTAAAATATACAGTTTTTACTTTTCTAAATGTGATGGTCCTTAGAGCCAGTCTACTCCTCTGTGAATTTGAAAAGAAGCAATGTACTAAAGACACATTACCTTGCTGTAAACTTAAATTACGACAGCACAGAGAATGGATTCAGATTTTCTAACAGAGGTGTCTGATCACGGAAATCATTAGTTATGTCTTCAGAATATGATCCTTGAAATAGCTTTTCATCGTAACCAGCCTACATTACTAAGGTTGAAATGCATCTAAATTAGTCCCATGGAAGGCGGAACATTTAGTATTCTGACGGCTGCTCTAAGGAACCGGCGAGGGAAACGATTCCACACTCGGGGAAACACCTCGTTATACATGAAGATGCATGAATTGACCATTTACCGAGCGCCCATGACGCGCCAGGCAGAGCGAGAGGACAAACCTTGGCCCTTAAGAGCGCCGCGTCTTGGTGCAATGACGCTCCAAACGGCCAGGGTCTGGGATGAATTTACGCCTTAACAGATGAACTGTCTCACCAGTTCATCGTCCCCCTTGAAATGACTCAAATCCAACTCGAGAATGCCTAAGAAAGGCCCAGAGAGCGCGACCTCGGAGCAGCCGTGCGCGTGGAGTTCCTCTACACCCGGTCTCTGGGGCGATGAGGACCCCAGGTGAACCCCGCGGGCCCCGCAAATCAGAGGGACAGAGAGACGCCGTAAGAGTCGGGACTAGGCAGAGGCGGGACCGGCCGGAGCCCGCACCGCCTAGCCGGGCCTCGCTCACCTCTTCCACCTCGATCTCTTTATAGTCGATTTCTTCAAAGTTGAGGACTTGGGAGGGGGCTTCAATCATGTCACTGGCCGAAGACGAGGAGGAGGAGGAAGCCGCGGAGGCTGTAGACATGATCTCTCGCGGAGCCCGGGGGGCCCGGGGAGGCTGCCGCCCGGACACTCCGGGGCAGACCCGCGCCCACCCGCCTCCGGACCGGCCGTCAGCCTGGAGCCACGGCGATCGGTGGAAGGGACAGGGGCAGCGGCCACAGCCGAGTCCCCGCTCCGGCTCCTCTGCGCTTTCCGCCGCCGAGCCCCGCCCACTAGACTTCCGGTTCCGGCTTGAAATCGGAAACGGGAGGAGGGACGAGAGCTGAGGGAGGGAAGAATGTTGTAACTGAGACAGAGAAAGGAAGACTAGTTTTGAGGGTGTGGTGGGGGAGGGTAAGAGGCCAACTTAGATCTGTAGAACAAACTTCGCGAGATCTTTGTTAAAGTGCCTCAGCAACAGATGATACCGCGAGAGCTGACGCTTTGACGTCCTTAAAATGCGCGAACGGAAGTGGCGCAGAGCAAGACGGAGCGTCGGTGCGGTTGGCCCTGTAGGAACCAGCGGGAAAGTTGAAAGCTCTGGTTCCGACTCTGATTCGTGAAGTATGTTATGGACCCGCTCCCGTTTTGTCAGAGACCTGCAGACAGCCGGGGTAGTGTTGGATTGTTTTTGTGACGAAACTTACTTTGTAGTTTTAATTTTAAACCAAGCTGCACTATTTTTTTTTAAAAAAAGAATCCTTGGAAAATGTGTTTCCCTCAATGTATAGGCAAGGAAGCAGTTACTACTGTTACTTTGAGCCAACCCGTGACTCTATGAGAGATTCTAAAGCAAATAATACAGAGCAAGCCAGCTCATGTAACCTGAATAGCAATACGTAGGCTGAGTGCGCAGGAACGGAAGTTAATATTAGATAAAGTAGATATTTATAATTAGATAGAACGTGTTGTGTTTATCTGAAGTTGTGGGTTGCATTAATAGTACACATACAGTGTGGAGCACCATGCATTTATAATTAACCATTAACAATAGCCTTGAAAAAAAAATGTTTGCCATCTTCAGGACATGAGCAAATAGACTCCAAGATTAAAATGTTAAACAAAAAAATTGACTTCCACAGTGAAGTGTATTTTTAAGTAAGGTTTTATTGAGCCTGAATGCTAGCCAAAAAGAAGGCCAGTCTTGGAGTCCAAATCACAAGAAGCATGGTTGGGTAGGAAAGACAGCATGTGTAGCTGTAGCGTTTTGCAAGCATCTTTGTACATCAGAAATGTACATTCGCTGTAAGCAGGCGGTGGGAGGAGGTGAAGTGAGGCCAGCTCTAGGTCCACATGAAGAAATGCCTGCTCCTGTGTGTTGGCTGTGGGCAGCGTTCTGGAGAGCCCAGGTGTCAACAGCAAGCAGAGGCTCCTGGAGTTAAGTGGTGCCCGACTAAAATAATCTATGGAGATAGCCACCTGGATATGAACCCCAAACTCCAACCGGCAATAAAGGAACGTGAGCAGCAGCCATAACACACTAACAGTTGTGTCTCGCTCTTCAGGGGCTGTCATTTAGAGCATCTCACTTTTCTCGTTGTCGAAACAATTGTGGTCCTCACAAGCCAGGAGAACCTAGACCTAGGTCAATGTATCTCCAAGGCGGATAGTAGGGCCTGTGTTGTGCTATCAACACAACTTTTTAGTTTTAAACTAGCTGTTACTCTTTATTTCGTTAGTTTGGCTTGAAGCCTAATGAGAAAATTGGAGTTAGAGATGGTTTAAGGACCAAGGATGTAAAATTCTCTCAGTAAGATACTGATGTTTCTCTCTCTCCCTTTCTCTCTCTAAAAATCAATAAAAACATATCCTCAGGTGAAGATTAAAAAAGAAAGAGAAGTTATGAATTCCTTGAAAATACTCATTTTTTTTTCATAGTTCTAGAAACACTTGATGAGAGCTTGGTGAATGGATAAAAGAATGAAAGAATAATATCTTCTCACGATACTCTGGATAATTTTACTCAGGGTTTTGATGACCTATACCACTGTTATGATGATGACTCCCAATCTCTCCCAGGGCTCAGGTTTTTTCCAGAATTCTGAACCCATTGGACATCTATATTGAGCTGTAACACGTAAATTTCAAGATTCCAAAAGCATATTTAAAAGTTATCACATATCACATACTTGTTCTGTGTGCATTTTCTGTCTCCATGGAGGATCCCATCATCTACTCAGTTGTCCAAGTGAGAAATCAGCTTTATTTCTACATGTAAAATGATGCTTACTGCACTAATAAAACCAATTTGAAGCAGGTTAAGTCCATGAGATAACCATTTTTTTTTACCTGTAGTTTTTCTATACGAATTCCCAAGCTAGAATGGTCACCTCTTAACCTTGTGCTCTCAATCTGCAGGTCATATCTGGTTTAACACCTTGATTTTAATACAGAGGATGCTACCAAATGAGAACTCAAGAAATATTTGTTATATGTTGTAGATGAATGAATAGCTTTTGCCAGTCCTCCCTTTCCTTAGAATACAAGAGGTGTGTTCTATATCTTTGGTTTAGGACTAGAATTCTGCTGATAAGGGACTAAGCACTATATATAGCCATGAAGCTGTTCTTCTGCTGTTCTGCCTGTAACCTCCCACCCCCAACATTTTGTTATGAAGAATATCAAACACAGAAAAATTTACAGTGAAGACATATATTTATTACCAAGATTCTACCATTAATATTGTGCTTGATTTATCACATCTGTCCAGTACATACATACATACATACATGAATCTATCTTTTTAAAAATATATATTTATTGACTTCAGAAAGGAAGGGAGAGAGGGAGAGAGAGAGAAACATCACTGATGAGAATCATTGATTGGCTGCCTCCTGCATGATCCCTACTGGGGATTGAGCCCGAAAACCAGGCATGTGCCCTGACCGGAAATGAAACATGACCCTCGTGATCTTCTGGTTCATAGGTTGATGCTCAATCACTGAGCAACACCGGCCAGGCTCTATTTTTTGTTGTTGTTGGATGCATTTTAAAGTGAATTTCCTACATGATTTTGAACATCTACCCCAATATTTCTGCTGCTGTGTCTTACCCACTAATTTTGACTTCTGATATTCATATTAGTCTAAAATCAATTCATGGCTATTTGCTTGCAGACCATCTTGTCTTTTTTTGGGGGGGTGGGGGTGGGGGTGTCTGCCTGACACCTTTTCACTAGCGTCTAATAAGAAAGTCCCAGCAGTGTTTGTGTCCCTGGATTCAGTCATCCCCAAGGTCCAATTTACCTCTCCCATTCTGTGACTTGATTATGTGAACTGATAAATTTCCATATTTCATTTAAGGTAATTCAAGTTGTATTTTTTTTTCACTTGTGATCAGAATCCTAAGCACAGTTGACCCTTGAACAACATGGGTTTGAAGTGGCTGGATTCTCTTATATGCAGATTTGTGGGTGTTGTTTTATTTTGTTATCGTTAATCCTCACCCGAGGATATTTTCCATTGATTTTTAGAGAGAGATAGAGAGAAAGAAACATGGATGTGAGAGAGACACATTGATTGGTTGTCTCCCACATGAGCCCTGACCAGGGTTGGGATCGAGCCTGCAACCGAGGTACATGCCCAGGACTGGAATTGAACCTGGAACCTGTCAGTCCATGGGCTGATGTTCTATCCACTTAGCCAAACTGGCCAGGGCTGTGGGTGTTTTTTTTTTTTCAGTAAATATCTGTGTTGTTTCTGATTTGTGCTTAGGAGTCTGCGAATGTGGAGGACCAACTGTATGCATAGATCTTCACAATTTTATATTGGGTATTTGAGCATCCATAGATTTTTGGTATTTGTGAGGGGTCCTGGAATGAATTCCCCTTGGATACCAAAGGTAGTTAAGTTTTGGGGGAGTCAACAGTTATATATGGATTTTCAACTGCATGACGGGGATCAATGTCCTTAACCCCTGTGTTGTTCAAGGGTCAATATAGAGAAATGAAGGAGGGGAGCTGAACCCATCTTAGTTAACCTCAATTTTTTTACTGCGTTCCCTTTAACTGAGTTAAGGATGGAAACTTGGACTTCATAATTTCACATCAACTTTGGTTCACCAGTCTATTGTGTGTCTAGAAATTTCCAAAGATACATATCAAGCTATTTAAGTGGTCTCCTTCAAGTCCCTCCCAGTTTGAGCACTCACCCCACCCAACTTCATGTCAGTGTCCTAATAACTCCTCTCTGACCTTGGACTGTGTCTTCAATTTTAACCCTTTTACACTATCCAGGGGATGAGAGCCAAAGAGTTTTGAGATCCATTCCCATCATCTTTTTGCATGTTCTAAATGGGATTCTCATCTTATTGAGCTTATTTTGAATTTGAGGATATCTGGCATCTGTTTTCATGGAGGCTTAGCAGAAAGACTAAAATAGTTCCACTTCAGTGTTCTGTTGTATTGTCATATATAATAATACATCAGATGCAGAGTTCCATATTTTGTCAGTTAATATGACTTTTTATATATGACAGGAAACTCAACACAAAATGGCTTCAACAAAAAAGTGGATTTATTGGCTAAATTCAAGAGCTAGAATGGGCTTCAGGTGTCTTTTGATCTATAAACTAAATGCTAGCATTAATAAAGAGTTTCCTGCCTAGTTGGTGTGGCTCAGTGGTTGAATGTTGACCTATGAACCTGGAGGTCATGGTTTGATTCCCGGTCAGGGCACATGCCCAGGTGTGGGTTCAATCCCCAGTGTGAGGCATGCAGGAGGCAGCCAATCAGTGATCATTGATGTTTCTCTCTCTCTCTCTCTCTCTCTCTCTCTCTCTCTCTCTCTCTTTCTCTCTCTCTCCCTCTTCCTCTCTGAAATCAATAAAAATATAAAAAAAATAATGAGTTTCCATTACTTTCTTCTGCCTTTTGTGGTATTTGCCATTGCCCTAGAACAGTGTTTCTCAACCTTTTTATTTTTATTACTAGAGGCCTGGCACATGAAATTCATGCGCAAATATGGTCCCTAGGCCTGGCCTGTGATCAGGGCCATCTTCCCTGGCTGCCCACAGCCAGCCCCGCCACCCACCGCCACCCACCCCGGTTTCCATTCGCCATCAGGTGATTGGAGCCTGATGGCAGGGGGAAGGGACCGAGAGGTCAGCCGTTCCCACCTGCTTGCTGCCCCTGCCCCCGCCGCGGATTGCCCTCTGTGTGTGGGGCGACTGGTGGGCCGCTACCCACCCCTGCCGGCCAGGGAAAGAAACCAAAAGGTGGTCAGTGCGCCTG